GGACGGGAGGTCCTTCTCTGTCAAAGGTTGAATAATAAATGACTAGTGGGATGCTGTTTTGGAGGTTGCGCGTGGCGCCCTCTAGGCGTTGTTCTAATGAACTATTTCATTCATTTATGCAAGTCATTGTTTTTTCTAATAATGATTAATAATTTTAGTAGCGCAACCTGTTAATTGCCTAGTGAACAATGAATTTCATTTTGAAGCTATTTATTATTTCCTTTTGTAATTACTGATTTTGTAAATAACTAATGTTTGTAATATTTTTAAAATAAATATTCATGAACTATAATTAAATAAAAATAAAAGGAGTTTGGACTTAGAGATCTCAGGGCCTTATTAAAATAATTGGTACTAGTGTTGCCTCTCACTAACCTAAAAACAGGTCTGAGGGCTGGTTATTAGTTTAAATAGAGGCCTGGTCCATAGGGCAGGCACTCTGTTCCTGGCTCGCTTGCAGTGTACATCGCTGGTGACGTCACTACAGCTCTTAACGGTTTTTAACGGTTTTCCGTATTGTTTACTCCTCGTTCTTGTGTGCTCCTGCATTATGTGAGGTTCACGTAAGTACGTAGCTTTATTATTAACCTTTTGGTTAATTAATTTGTCTAAGTTAACTTACAATTCTATTAAATCACCATCATGACGCCACCACTTACTAACAACAACTCTGAACATAACCCACAGATACAACATAGCACAATGGAACACCTCAACTCTCCCACAAATAAACTGAAAAGGTACAATCAGGACGAAAATACTGACTTTGAAGGCTACATTATACCCAAGAAAATTTCGTACGCACCAAGACCAACTATTATACCGACGAGAACATCCAACAGTTTTTCTGCACTACAGACAATTAATAATAACACGGATCCTACACCATCCAGTAGCAACAATACACAATACAAAAACTCTACCACGCCAAAAACGTTTAAACCACCTCCTGTTATTTTCAGACCAGCAATGTCCGCTGTGGCATTACGAAAAGCTCTATTAGATGCTAAAATTAAAAACTTTACCATTCGTTCAAATAGGGACGAAACCAAATTGTATTTGGACCTCAAACCTGACTACGAAGCTACAATACATGTTCTAAATGTCAGCGATGAAATTGATTTTCACACCTACTCCCCACGCGGATCAAGGTCGCTTAATAAATTTATCATCAAAGGTCTAGACCTTGACCATGACCTTGATTCAATTACAGAAACCCTCCAATCCCGTTTACCCGGACTCAAATCTGTATGGAGGATGAAAAAGACCGACGCAGATGGCTTCAAAATAGAAGTGCCACATATCATAGTCACGACAGACCCTGACACTACCATTGACAACCTCAAAGCAGTTGGTCCAATCGACCATATGGGGTACTCAGTTGAGAAACTGAGGAACATCAATGGTCCCAGGCAGTGTTACAACTGTCAGCAATTTGGACATACAAAAAATTACTGTGCTCGCAAGATAAAATGCGTACGATGTGGTGAACACCACGACATCAGCGAATGCTCCCGAAACACCCCCCTCAAATGCGCAAATTGTCAGGGCCCTCATGTGGCCTCTTATCGCAATTGCGAAAAGAGACTTGCACTATTACAAAACATAGTGCAGGCTCATGCTGGAAGAAATACAGCAACAAATCCCAGACAAGAACAAAAGGGTAAAGCATCACAAGCTCCGCCCACCACCTCAAGACCCGACTCTTATGCGGGAGTAGCCCACCTAGCTCCACCTCCCACCACCCAATCCCCACCCTATGAACAGCCCCCATGGGTCTCCGAACTCGTGGGCATGTTCAGGGACATGAAGTCCATGTTCACAACCCTATTAAACACAGTTAACCTTATACTTCAAAAAAACATCAATGGTTAGACATTTGATTATAAACTATAACATAACAGGGCTCATGCTTCGTAAACTTGAGCTAGAAACTCTCCTGGCTTCCCAAAAGCCATCAGTCGTTGCACTGACTGATACACGAATCAACAAACTAACTCACATATACTTCCCCGGGTACCACATATACCGACTAGATTCCCCATCACATGGTGGCGTCGCACTTCTGGTGCGTTATGACGTCCCTTCCAGATTATTAAACAACACTACACTAAATGATGACAAACACTCAGCAATTACTATACAAGTAAAATTTGAACATACATACAAAAGTACATGCATTTACCGTAGTCCTAGTGGAAAACCTGACATATTAAAACTATTTCTGAAGGACACCGAGACAGACAAACGTCACATAATAGTAGGAGATCTCAACGCCAAACACCATACATGGAACTGCACAAACTCTAATGCAATAGGAAACTTCCTGACCAAATCTACTTATACAATCATACACCCTAATGCATACACTTATAGACATCATGCTAACCCAAATATCACGTCTACACTTGATCTACTACTCACACAACAACCACACAGATTCACAAACTGCAACACGATAGACTTTAGCAATAACGACCACATACCTGTACTATACGAACTAGGAGATAACTCAACCCATAGACTACAAATACAATTTCAAACACGCTGACTGGAAACAATACAAGACACAAGTATATAGTGACACACCAAACATCACGACACTTACAACAACTATTGACATCGACAACGCCATTAGTACATTACACAACATTATCCATAATGCAGCTAACACACCACCATACCCACCTTCAACCCCATTCCAATTCACCTTCGCCTACCACCAAAACATATCCTATCAATCATAAAACAACGTAACAACATCAAGAATTGCTGGTACAGAACCAAAGACCCTACTTACAAACCTATCATGAACAGCCTCACTAGACAAATAACATCCCTTATGTCGCAGTGGAAAACGTCAATATGGCATGAACAACTTCGCCGGATCCACAACGACCATAAAAAATTCTGGAAGCTAGTCAGAAGCCACAACACCAAATCCAAATCGGTGAAAATCCCCCGAGGCGATGAGCTTCTCACTCCTACAGATCAGGCTAACATTCTATCAGACTACTACGTAGAACGAGACGATGACCGTACTGACACCATTTATCATCACATCCCCCTCACGGATAACCTAAATAACTCAATATTCTCCACATATAAAGACCTGACTGCAATTTTGAGAAAAACAAAGGGAAACAAGTCTGCAGGAAAGGACAATATTCCTTCTGTCCTTATCAAACAACTACCCCGAAAAACCCTAATGTTTCTCCTTAACATCTTTAACTCATGCTCACGCCTCAGATATTTCCCAACGGAGTGGAAACATGCTATTGTCATTCCACTCCTCAAACCCCGGAAACGAGGAGCGGTCCCGGAAGATTATCGGCCGATCAGTCTCCTCGACCATATCTCAAAAATATATGAGAAACTAATCCTCATTCACATCCGAAAACACTGCGATTCACATGACATTATACCCCCTGAACAAACTGGGTTCTCTCGCGGCGTTAGCTGTTATCATCACGTGGCTAAATTACAGTACGAAACAGCTAATAATCTAAATAAAAATCTTGCCACAGCCATGATCTCCCTTGACTGCACACAGGCTTTTGATTCTGTATCCCACTCCATCCTTATAAATAAACTCATGCATCACCAATTCCCTGTACAACTAGTCGATATTATCGGTTCCTATCTCAGTGACAGGACCTTCTCAATTCGAGTCAAAACTGACATGTCACCCCCTAGGCCAGTTACTTGTGGCGTCCCCCAGGGCTCAGTTCTGGCGCCTATCCTATTTAATATTTACACTGCCCAAATAGTTGGGACCAAAATTGACAAAGTTCAAATAGCTGCTTATGCTGATGATATTGCTATCTACACAGCAAGCATGGGAGCTAAACACGCAATGCGCCGAGCACAAAATGCAGCCCAACTGATCATAGACCAACTTAAAAACATAAACATCCACATCAACCCCGCAAAAACCGACGCCATCACATTCTCATACAAGAAAACAACTGAAAAACTCCCTAAACTTAACGGTCAAACTATAAAAACAAAAAGATATCTCTCATACCTACTCGAATCACGTTTATCTTTCACAGCGCACATACAACACAGAATACAAACAGTAAAATCCACCACATATCAACTCCGCCATCTACTCTATTCTCCAGGGCTGTCACTCAGACTCAAATTACTCATATATAAAGCCATACTCAGACCTTCACTTCTCCACGGTGCTCCCCTCCTACACTACCTATATCCCACAGCCCTGAAGAAACTACAACAATATCAGAACAGCATACTCATGAAGATCTGCAAAGGGACAACATTAGAAAGACGAAACATGAAACACATACATAACGAACTACAACTCGACTTTGTGCAACAACATATTTCAAGAAGACATATCAAGTTCTTCGACAACCGCCCCGCATCCTTTAACCCATTATTCCGATCCATCACCCCAGCCCCCCTCCCTGCCAGATGGCAAGGCCGTAAGGGTCCAATAAACCCCACCAACGTAATCATTTAACCCGCCTCATGGCTAGTCCTCCCCTCCCCATCCCTATTCATATCCCTATTTCTCCCCCCCCCCTCTCCTTATTTTATCTTTATGTTTAATTTTTATTTTATTTTATATATTTTTCACTTAACGAGCGGAGGACCCTCAACTCCAAACATCTTATCAAGACCTTAAGTGGGCAGGAAGAGATAACCAACAAAAATCATTCAACGCACCTTCAAATACCACAGGTAGAAAAAGGTCAAGGTAATTCAGAGTATCGTTCCGCTAGTGCACTGGTCCGATATGACACTGATATCATGATTTGTTTTGTTTCAGAGGGATCGGGAAAAAAAAAAAAAAAAAAAAAGGCAGGTACTCTCTCCCGAGTCACTACCTTCTCCTCACGTAGGCTCCTGGTATCCCTCTGTCTGACAGTTTGAAACCAGACCAATGTGTTATTTTTTGGTTTTACCTTCCTCCCTCCCCGTTCTCTCCTTACCTACCTCCTCTCTCCTTTCGTAGGAATGCATCTTCCAGGATGTCCCTGGGAGTGTTGGGTTACCTATTCTTGCAATGTCAGGGGATTGCCTCCTCGGTTGCTGAGCCCTGGATGTGTAGGGGTTGTCCCCCTATCATTCTTGGCGGTCTTACCATATCCTATCCTCGCAACGCCAGGGGATTGCCTCCTCGGTTGCTGAGCCCTGGATGTGAAGGGGTTGTCCCCCTATCATTCTTGGCGGTCTTACATTATCCTATCCTCGCAACGTGAGGGAATTGTCTCCTCGGTTGCTGAGCCCTGGATGTGTAGGGGTTGTTCACCTATCATTCTTGGCGGTCTTACCTTATCCTATCCACGCAACGTCAGGGGATTGCCTCCTCGGTTGCTGAGCCCAGGATGTGTAAGGGTTGTCCCTCTATCATTCTTGGCGGTCTTACCTTATCCTATCCTCGCAACGTCAGGGGATTGCCTCCTCGACTGCTGAGCCCTGGATGTGTAGGGGTTGTCCCCCTATCATTCTTGGCGGTCTTACCTTATCCTATCCTCGCAATGTCAGGGGATTGCCTCCTCGGTTGCTGAGCCCTGGATGTGTAGGGGTTGTCCCCCTATCATTCTTGGCGGTCTTACCTTATCCTATCCTTACACTGAGACCCAATCTCTCCTAACCCTATACTTCCTTTCTCCTTTCGTAGGAATAACTTGGTTGTCCCTCGTTTTCCTACAGTCCCCCTTGCGTCTTTCAGGTTGTCCCTGGGAGCGTGAGGTCACCTATCCTTGCAACGTCAGGGGGTTGCCTCCTCGGTTGCTGAGCCTTGGATGTGTAGGAGTTATCCATCTATCATTCTTGGCGGTCTTACCTTATATACCTTATCCTTCTCATCCTATCTAAGCTTATACACCCCATTCTTACAAACTTAAATAGATACACGAATACCAGATTAATTGACTAACAGAATGATTAAAGATTAGAAGGACAGATTTCAGATTTTAAAAGACAAACGTCGGCAATAACAGACAGACAGAGAGATAAATAAAAAAATAAAAAAAATTACAGTATATACCAATAAAGCATGCAGAAACATATATATAAACACAGATATTCGCACAGATATATGTATATTTTCATACACACAATAATACATAATACGCAGGCATTAAAATACGCATTCGTGCGTGTTGATATGTTCACATAATAAAAATAAATGAAAAGTGAGTTGATAAATAGATAGACAAAAATAGAGTATCTCTTATTTATATTTATTTCGGAACTTGAAACATACCATAGAACGTTGAGAGGATAAATAGAACTTTCTTGATATAATTTAGTATATACTATTATATTGGCCTTAATTTGATTTGTAAATTACAAAGAATTCTGATATATGAGTATACGGATGAAAAAAAGAATTTTTATATAGTATGTGTTTCTAGAAAAGGAATATTTGAGATAGTAGTATAGATGCTGCAGAGGTAATAGAGAATTAGATAGGAAATAATAGTATATATTTTCGTACTGATATAGGAATAATAATAAGTTAGTATCGTTATTTGTGATTTCTGAGATCCTAATGGTAATTACGAGAGTAATGGTATTATATATAAAAATACATAATTATAAATAGACAGATATACAAAGGTACATATAAGCACAATCACATGCATACTTCCGCAAATATGTACAGATACAAAGATACACACATATAGATCACAAAAATATAAGGCTACATACATACACAGATAAGTATAGGAATGTAAGACAGAGTCATTCACATATGCATTCATGCATCTACATATATTCACATAATGGAAATAAGTGCGTGCTGCGCTAGGATCTGCTCGACTCCTGGAATTTTATCTGGACTTACGGGGAGGCTTTGGGATCGTTAGGGAGGCTGCTGGTGGAGGCGGAAGGGAGGTGGGGGGGGGTGGCAGGGGCTCGGAGTTGGGACCAGATGAGTGTTGGGGAAGGAGATAGGTGGAGGGGATAGGGAGTGGGTAGGATTTGTTTTGTTTGTGTAGTTATATTGTTAGCTTTATATGTGGTATTATACATGTTTTCTCCAAAATTAAATGGTGAATTTGTTTGAATACCGATTTCTTTCGATATTGTTTGAATTTTATTTTGTGATTTCAGCAAAAGATCTAGCAAATTGAGTTAGATTCTGTTCTTTATAGGTTTTTGTTTCATTTAAGGATATTTTAGTTATGGTTTGAATGGTTATTTCTTTGTGCATTATAAAAATAGGACACCGACTATCTAACGAGTTGTGATATTGGGAGCAGTTTGCAAAGCGGGCTGGACGTGCCCATCTCACATTATCTTCGTGTTTTGCTTCATACATTTATTTTGCTGTTTACAAACGTTTGAGTGATGACTGACAAATAAGCAGTTGAAGCAGCGTAGGGGATTAGGGATATAATCTTGTACCTTGACCGTATAGAATCCTATCTTTATTGTTTCCGGAATTCTCGGTGTAGGAAATGTGACGATATAAGAATTGGTCAATATTTCATTTCCATTCTTTTTTATTTTAATACGTATTATATCATTTATCGTTGGAAATAATTCTTCTTTAATTTCATCTATCTCTAGAAATTGGAGATCGTAACATTGAATCACCCCTTTACTGTAATTTAAGGTATTGTGGGGGGACACCTCAACCGGAAATTGTCAACCGAAAGTTTTACATTTTAATAATTCTTCCGATGGTTTTCGGTTTTTGATTTAAATAAGTAATGTCCCATTTCTTAGCTTTTTTACATTTTTTAAGTCTCCCCCCAAACCTGAAAGAAACTTATTTATTAAGAATAGGGATACTTTTTGAAAATTTTGAACATTTGATCTTTCTATTATTAAAAAAGATGGGCTAGTTGGGATCGCACCATTTGTATTTTCTGCTTCAAATTTAAGACGACCCTGAGGTCGTTTTCGTTTAGCCTTTGGGCTATTTAAATCTATAGGATCCCCCATAGAAGGATATAATAAAACGTACTATAAGTAATTAAAATATCAAGTAATAAAGAAAAAAAAATAGATGAAATGAAGTAAAATAAATATATCCTTATATTTTATAAAAAAAAAAATAAATATAACCTTATAGTAATTAAAAATAAAAAGTGAAAGATTATAAGAGAGAGAAATTAATATAAATGTATATATTCTTATCTGTGAGCAACCAGAGAGGCACGTCTTATCTCTTCGAATGCTTACACTGAACTGACTAGCAAAATGTTTGTATCGACTTTATTTATTTTAGAAAGAAAAACAAAAGCGGAGAATACGATTCGCTAATCCCCCGTGAAATTCTGAATCCAACGGTACCCCATTCATGGTATTTGAGCATGACAGGAGCTTATATTTGGTACAAAACCGATTTCGAGCCTTACTGTAATAATATATGTACGGATGAACGAATAGGGTTAGGGATAGCATTGTTCTGTTGACTGCGTTGCCATAGGAACGCGGTTTATCTTTCTATTTCATTTTTCCCTCTGCTATTCACTGCATGATTCATAACTCCTCAGGATTTTCTCCTAATTCAATCTATAATCGTTGGAAAGCTGAGTTATTACTCTTTAATGCCATATCAATAACTTTTAGCTAACTAAGGGTAGCTGATGAGGAGGGATTTGCTGAAGAGGCTGTTGAGGTTGAGTATTAGAGCTTCTGGGCTTGGATTGGGAGGTTTGAGGCGCCTGACTTTCAGGCTGCTTCTTAATGATGGAAGGCTGACATTGAGAATTTTTTGAATTCTGAAGAGGATAATCCTTAAGTGTAGAGATGGATGGTTGGTGTTGGAGGGCGATGGAAGGTGAAGTCGGCAAAGCTGGGAAAGTGTCTTGATTTTCAATTTCAGGTGGCTCAGGGCAAGTTTTTTGAGTAGGTCCAAGGGTTTTCGTCGCTAAGTTGCGTGATCTCTGTTTGTGAATATTTTTATATGCCTCACAACCTCTATAGCTGGCAGGGTGGGCTTCACCACAAAGAGCACATGTCGCGGGCTCATCTCTTGGCTTCTGGTAAGTGCCTGAAGCGTGAAGACCGGCGCATTTAACACATCAGGCCTCGTGATGGCAATATGTCTTCGTATGCCCTAAGTTTTGACACTTAGTGCATTGTACTATTAGGGGCTTCTGCCTTGGTTCTTCAAATCGTACTGTCGAGTATACTAAACGTTGAACCTGAAATATTTTATTATTCGTTATTGCTGGTTCCAAATCTATAAAGAATAATGGAAGTGGGTATCTTTCCTAGGATGTAGTGCGGGTGCTATGTGCCTGACGTTATGACCGATTTCTTCCTGGTCTGTTTTAATGACAGATATGGGAGTGGTTGAATGTAGACCTCTCAGAACCACTCGCTACCTGCGTTTTAAGCCCAAAAACGTACTACTTCCGAGATAACGCAAGCCATGGGGTTCGTATCCACACAACCTGACGTTAATTGTAGTACTGTCATTGGATACATGTCTCATTTCGTCGACTTGAGGTCTCTATGATTGAGACTGGAGGTGTTTATATTATTTATCCATGGTGTTTTTGATCGGCAAGCCATATCTTCGTTAATTCTTCACCAAATCTCAAGATTGAGCCACCAATTTCGAAGGCTTCCTTCTCCTTTAGGCGGGAAAAATATTCCAATCACCCCGAAAATTCAGGCAAACAAGTTATGAAAAAAAAAGAAACTTTATTTGCGAATAACTAAAAAATTACACACTTTTCCCTTGGTTATTCCCATGATTGTATAAAATGTTACTAATTGTCTACAAAAGGAAAAAAAAAATCATCGATTAGAAATTTTTCCAATATTTTTTGTTTTTCATTTTATTACTTATTTTTTCGTATTTTCGATTAATATTCATTGGGAGAGTTCTATAATAGCCCATTTTATTTTAAAATAACTATATATTTGGCATATAGTTATATTATCAGTACGACAATGAAATAATTTGTACTGACCGAAGGAGGAAAGTGGGTTCAAATATTTTCTTAAGGGAAAACAGAGTTGAGATTTGTATTTCGCACCTCTATAAAGCCTCAAATACGAATTTTCATAGAAATAAAAAAAAAATTAAAATCTTTTGCACCAAATCGGAACCAAGCCTCCCCCCTTCGATCTTCTTTCGAAAATCACAAACAGTGGGATAAAATAAAAATGGCTCCACGTATTCACACTAAAATTTACATTAAGTTAGTACTACATAAGCTACTCGAAATGACACAAACCAGACCCCTGTAAATTTAATAGAACTTGAGATATAACACAAAAACCT